GAACACAATTGTGAACTAGGGATAATCTAAGGTCCATCGACAGGCTTGATGGGGCTTATGAATCCTTTGAAAAGGTATTGCATCCTTTTTTTGGGAAGAGGGTCCATAGCTTTTATCATCTTATCAATGGAAGTGATAAACTATGAGAGGCTGGGAATCTCTTTAAGCAATATCATTCTAAAACAAATTATTCTTAATCCTCCCTAGGTAGATTGGAAAGGCTACTGGCTTCAACATTTTCTGGAGAGAAGGAACACCTATGAAAATCCTATCCCTTGCTGAGTAGACATATTCTCCTTTCCAGCACCAACTCTGGGGCACAGTGGGCCCCCCAGGTTGGCTATCCCTTCTTGGAGCTCATGGGAAAAACATGTCTGGTACAATGAAGATGAGAAGGTATCATTCTAATCATGTTTTTGATTAAAGGAAAGCCCTCTGTGCTCTTAGATTGTGTTTGTAGCATTCTTAGTTTAATTTCAGGGATGTTATTGTAGGTGTGAAATTAGATAATAATAAGAAAAACTAATTCTTAGGTACCAGAAAGACAACATGAAAAAATATATAATTCTAAATGTAGGTCAAATTTTATATTTATCAGCATTGATGTAGTGCTGTTGCAGTCTGTTCTTAAATTTGTTTTTTGTTTTTTTATGAAAAAACAATGAATGCAATAATCTTCTAATACAGTGATTAAGAAACAGTGTATATTTTTCCACATACTGTCAAAGCAGATTAAAGAGTACATTTTGCCATTGGAAATGCTGTATTGCTATAGTAAGTAAGAATAAATTAAGTTTCTGGTTTTTTCTAGACTAAAGACTTAACAATAAATAAGGTACATTTTCCCTGTAAGGCTTCTCTACAACCTGTTACTTTTTAGTAGATGATGATGATGACAACAATGACAGCAACAGCAGCTAACAATGTTGCTTATTATGTACCAGGTCCTGCTCTAAGTGCTTTACATTCATTACTTCACTTAATCCTCCCAGCAACTATGTCCATGAATTAGGTATTATTATTATTATCTATTTCTTAGAGATCAGGAAAGTAAGATGATGGGGTTATTTAACTTGGTAATAAGGAGTAAAACCAAGATTTGTATCCCACAAATGATTAAATGATTTAAAAGTTTAAAATATTGCCAAGAACCACCAAAATGTGACACAGAGACATGACTTGAACACACGCTATAAACGGATATGCTGTTGTCGGGCTTTGTTATTCCATTTATAGAGCTCAGGCAGAGTAGATTTAACATAATTCCTAAGAGCCCTAGGATTTTCTAAATGGTAAGTAGATGTTGGCTTCCAGTTAAAGTTACCATCTGCATCAGCTCCTAACAAGAGAGTCAGCCTATCCTTTGATGCTTTGAAACCAGGCATTGACTTCTCCTCAATAGCTATAAAAGCCCTAAATGGCATTTCCTTCCAGTGAAGGCTGTTTCATGTACACGGAGAATCTGTTGTTTATGTCAGCCACCCTCATCAATTATCTTAGCTAGATCATCCAGATAACTTGCTTCTCTATCAGCACTTGATACTTCGCTTCGCACTTTTATATTATAGAGATGGCTTCTTTCATTAAACTTCATGAATCAATCTCCAGTGGCTTCAAACTTTTCTTCAAAAGATTCGTCACCTCTCTCAGTCTTCATAGAACTGAAAAGAGTTAATGTCTTTCTCTGGATTAGGCTTTGTCTTACAGGAATGTTGTGGCTGGTTTGATCTTTTATCTGCACCACTCAAACTTTCTCCATATCAACAATAAGACTGTTTTGCCTTCTCATTGGTGTTTTCACTAAAGTAGCACTTTTAATTTCCTTCAAGAACATTTTATTTGCATTTACAACTTTATTACTGTTTAGTGCAAGGGGCTTAGGTTTCAGCCTATCTGGGCCCTCCTTACTAAGCTTAATCATTTCTAGCTTTTGATTTAAGGTGAGAGATAATGTGACTGTTCCTTTCACTTGAACACTTAGAGGTCATTGTAGAGTTGTTAATTAGCCTTATTTCAATATTATGTCTCAGGGAACAGGGAGGTCCCAGGAGAGGGAGAGAGATGAGGGAATAGCTAGGTGGTAAGGCAGTCAGAACATATAAAACATCTATTGATTAAATTTGTCATAAGGGTGTGGTTTGTGGCACCTCAAAACAATGAGAATAGAAATATCAAAGATCACGGATCACAGATCACTTAAACAAATATAATAATGATTCAAAAGTTTAAAATATTGCCAAGAACCACCAAAATGTGACACAGAGATATGATGTGAACATATGCTGTTGGAAAAATGATGCCAATAGACTTGCTCAATGCAGGGTTGCCGCAAACTTTCGATTTGCAAATAATGTAATGTCTGGGAAGTGCAATAAAAAGAAGTATGCTTCTATATCCTCTTTTCAATACAAAGATGCTAGGTAGCCAATTTCTATCACTGTCTTTGTCTATTCGGGTTATGTTCACTTTCCCCTACAATTTTCCCATGACTTTTATACTGTTACTTTTTTGAATAGTATGTGAGACACATGAATCCTCAGATCTGCAAAGGCACCTTTGGCCAATGTAATGAGAAGTGCTAGAATTCTGTTCTGGGTTGGTTCTCAGCTAAAGATGTGTGCCTATTATTCCTAGAGTCAGGAGAAGGAAGGGCAGAAAGCACTTACTGTACTAATAATGGGAATTGAATCCCATTTTTAACTGAACATGATGAAAAAAAAGTACATTATTAGCCTGAAGTTTGCATAACTCTAAAATGTATTAATCTTGGGTGAAAATTTTAACCTTAGTTTCAGAATCCTCATGAAGTTCTTAGAATGTTTAAATGAGATAACATTGGTTACATTAAAACATATGAAACTGCCATTTCTGTAGCTTAAAAATGGTCAATTATTGCCACAGTCAAGTGGTTAAACCTAAGGTAAGTAGTCAAATGTTAACCACTATTATTGTTAGAGAAATTATTCTCATTCTACAATTCTTCCTTCCTAAAAACATTTCTAGTTTGGAATGCACTGCTGATAACTAGTGCTGGGGAGATAGGGTTGAATTTGTCCATGATTTTAATTTGTATTTCATGGACTTTTAAAATTCATATCATAGCAGATATATCTCCAAATTATGCCACAAAGACAGCCTAGAAAATAAACCTTAGATTAAATTCATAAAGGCTTATTATTTTTCCCATACCTGGATGTACTTTTCACTAGATAACTTTTCAATAGAAATCAAGTTCATGAAGCAGGTTCATAGGGACTGTATTAGTTTCCTGTTGCTGCTGTAACAAATTAGCACTAACTTATTATAGATCTGGAGATCAGAAGTCCTAAAATCAAGGTTATCAACAGAGTTGGTTTTTTCCGGACTCTTTAAGAGAAAATCCCTTTCCTTGAGTTTTCCAGTTATTAGAGATCACCTGTGTTCATTGGCTCATGGTCTATTCCTCCCTCTTCAAAACCAGCAATGCAGCATCTTTAAATCTCTCTCTCTCTCTGACCTCTGCTTCCATCACCAAATCTCTTTCTCTGTGATCCTCGTGCCTCCCTCTTTCCCTTAAAGGGCTCTTATAATCATATTAGGCCACCCAGATAATCTGGTATAATCTTCCCATCTCAAAAATCCTTAATTTAGTCACATCTGTAAAGTCTCTTTGCCATCTAAGGGAGCATATTCACAGGTTCTGAGGATTAGAATCTAAACATCTTTGGTGGGGTGGGGAGGGGGGTATTAATCTGTCTGTCACAGGGACCAAAATATTCTAGGTACCCAAATTTCAAGTAGCAAGCAAGATGGTATCTTATTTCTTTAAACCTTATACCATTGTAAGCTGCATAGACATTTTTACACATACCTTCATAATTTTTGAGGACATTCTGATATACAACGCTCCAGTTTCTCTTTCGGCACAAGTATATGGAAATCATAGTCTCGGCTTTGGTTTGTAGAACCAGATTTTACTCCTTTACCCAGTTTTAGTTAATCCAATTTATATTTAAATTTGTCCTTTTTGACAATTCATACTGCTATCCTTAGCCAAAGAATTATTAGCACAGTAAATGCTTTCTGCACTTCCTTCTCCTAACTCTAGGAATAATAGGCACACGTATTTAGCTGAGAACCAACCCAGAACAGAATTCTAGCACTTCTCATTATACCTTTCTTGCACCTTTCCTTCAGGCACTATATTGACATCTCAGCAAGCAAATCACACCAGCATTGCAGGTGTTAACACCAATGACTATACCATAAGAAATTCCCTTATGTAGCTCCTTGCATGGATAAACTGAACTCAAATGTCTTCCGTGGCTTACCTAAAATATCTGCTTGCCTGACGTACATCTCCCTTGTCCATCATTTCCAACGAACACTAGTTCTTAAACATTTAAGCCTCATCAGCACATGCCCATCATAACAGCATAACATCCTTGTCCTGCTGGAAACTATTCAGCATCCAGAGGACCATCTTTATGCTGATAACACTAAAATATAAAATAATGCCAACAGCTGGTGCTACAAATGGCTTTTAAAAACGATGTTCATTCACTAAAATTCCTCTTGCTACTTTTGACATGAAACACGCAGTCTCTAATTATTCTGATCAAGACGGTGAAATACAAAAACAAACTTTAATTGTGTTTAACAGATATTTAATCAGGACTCACTGAACTACAGATTAAAGCTGAAATTCATAAACCATAATTACCCGATTGTCGCAATCTTTTGGTCCACATTCTCCTTCCGTCTGGGCGTCTGGCACCTTGCCCCGAATTTCTTTTACTGTCTTCTCAGCTTCGTTACTGTTCATGTTTTCCAGCAGAGATTTAGCACAGATTACAAAATATCTGTTCTTGGCAACTTTCTTCATTAGCTTTTTTTCCCCCTTGCAAAAAAGTTTATTTTTTTTTTCTACCAGAGTAGCTGGAACAGGCATACGTTTAGGGTGCTTTGATGACACAAACTAATTATATAGTTATCAGGAGATAATATGGTAGTGATAACTAAAGTTACTATAGTTATCATGTAGGTATCATGCAATTTCTCTAGTATACCATGCGGTGTGTCCCAGTCACCATGTATTACCTAATGTCACTACTGCATTGTTTCATGGAAAATGCTTATCTCACTCCAACAAAACCTTTTCTGCCACATTTAGAGGGAAAAAAAGTGAAATTCTTAGTTCTCATTTCCAGTACTGCTCATTCCCAGTAAGATGCTGTCATGCAAATTTAAGGGAAACACCTGCCCTCTCCTGAAAATTTGCTTTTACAGGGAGCAAATGGAGCAATTCTGTTTCTTTGTCTTTTCTTTTTTTTTTTTCGCTTCACTTTACCCAGGTAAGAGAAGTAATTACCAACAGTACATACATTTTCTCTTTCGTTTTTTTAAAAAGGAAACCATTCCCACCCACCCCCCCCTCCAAGAAACACCCTATTTACTTAGGATTCGTTTAGTCTGGCACTTCCCCCCATACTCTTTCCTTTCAAATTTCAGTCACTCACATTTGTTTTTCCTAGAATTATGGTGTAAATCATTCTTAACAAGCTAACTTGAAACTTCTCTCACTCAGTAGAAACACAAAATGCCACTGTAATTGAAACACCGAAGCTTGAAACTCTTTCTAACCAGTTCTTTTGGGCCACTCTTCAGAAGGACATGCCGAGCTTCCCTCACAGTGCAGTAACCCCTGTGTCACACAGCTAGGATAACATCACAGACCAAGGCAAGAGGATAAAGAGACGGCGCTGGTTAAAGAAGAAGTGGGTGGTTCCTTTATTCCCCCCAGTTGGGCAGTCAATCCTATGAAGCAAGGACTGTAGTTGCTACTTATTTATCTCAAGTTGATGGCTTGAAGTCTGACCTCGCTAAGACCTTTAGATATGACATACCACCTGAGAGTTCCAGTTTAAAACAGGATGTAGCGGCTTCCTTTGCAGCACAAGTTGAAAGCTATTTCCAATTCTGCTTTTATTAGCCACCTCCCAATCTGAGAGCTGCCAATTCATTGCACACTTAACTCATGTTGGGGCAAAAATCACCTCCAGATTTAGAAGGGCCAGAAAAATTGCTATCCCATCCCAGCACATTGTTCTTCAATCACACGGTTCCTCTAAATACAGTTGACAGCCTTTGAGATGCAAAATGCATCATCACTTTAATGTAGTAGAGGTCCCCTTAACTGCATTGCCAAATCTATTTAGCAGAATCTTCTTGGAATAATCTGTCCCTAGACCTGAGGATGCACAGTGATTTTAAGCATTTTAAGCTAACGATAATGGTTAGTGCTGAGAACAGATGTACCTGGCTGTGATGTGATCTATTCCAGTAGGCTTTTATGAGCGGTTCATTCCTATTGACTTAGCATTTTATGTCTGTGCTTTTGCCTGGTGTGATGGTTGCATAGGGGTGTCATGTGTGTATTTTCCTGATGTGTGATGGCTGCACAGGGGGCTGTGTATATTTTCTCAGTGCAATGGCCACACAGGGTGTTATGTGTGTGTTTGCCTGGAGTTATAGCTGCACATGTTATTGTGTGACTTTTTTCTCTATTTGATGCTTGCTCGTAGGGTCCTATGTGTATCTTTTTCTGAGTGTGATGGTTGCACTCATTGCTGTGCTAATGATGGGCATTTCTATCTATCTACAGTCCTCGGGAAAAAATGCAGTAAAATCAATAAACAGTGCTAGACAGGCCCTTGTAAATAAGAAATGACAACATGCATAAATGCCGTTTCCTACTATTGCATGTTAAAATCCAAATTCTGTTACCTTATTGGCATTGGGATAAAATTTCTAGGGTCTCTTCATCTCCATATATTGCAATCATTTGGGGGAGTTTGAGATTACTGCTGGTTGGAGGGCTTTTACACATGAATCTATGTAATAATACTTTTTGATACATTGTCCTACACATCACCTCTTATACTGCATTCTGACTTGTCCTGGCATCATAGCTGATATTCTAAAAGTGAATATGCCTTCATTTATTCCTTCAGTCTCACCAAGCCCTCTCCATATGCCCCCTACATCACACATACAAAAACCCCTCCCTCGCCTCTCTCTCTCTAGTCTCTCTCTATCCCTCCTGTGTTCACCAAATGGAACTGACAAAGGAAACAACCAATGAGGTTAAAGTCTTTTGAAACCCCTGGAATACAGATGAGCTGGGAGGCATCTGGAAACAAAACCAGACACTTGAAATCAAAGAGACAAGTAAATTACTATCCTAATCTAGGAAGAATAACTAAAGGTGTCAGTGGGGTTCCATTGATAGCACTTGGCTCTGGGCCAGAATGCCAAGGGTTCAAACTCCACACCAGCTTTGGGCTCAGGCCCAAGACTTGCTACTGCAGGGTGTAGCAGCATGTGCAGCAGTGTTAAAGGTGTCAGCCTTCTGCAGAGGTTAAGGCCAAGTCCTTCTGCCTGTTTGTCATTGCACCCCAGAGAGACGCAGAGATAACCCTCGCTTTCTCTTTGCTGCTTTCTCAATAGAACAGGCTGGGGAGGAACTAGTGCTCAGCAGCAGTACTTGCTAGTATCAGTATTATATAAGCAATTAGTAAAATTCCTCTTTACTGATGAGGCTGCTTGAAGTATGTGCAAGAAAATCCATCGTCCCTCTCCCACCATGAAAAACTGATGTTTGTCCTAAAGATTCTTCCATCGATGCAAAGAGCTAAGTTTGGAAACCTAAAACCATGTGTCTAAAAGAAAGAAAATGTTTTCATTGGAACAGCTTACATGTCTGGTACACTTGCATAAAAACTATTGCATAGCATTTTAGAGCTAAAATTGCTATAAAATGCTTAATACAGTAAGAATAATTATGAGATTTTGCATGCACAGCTGGTATACAACTAAAGTCTCAGCCACATATTCATTGAAGCATGGGAAAGCCATTTATAAAAATTCCCGGTATGCCAGTTTAACTCACCATCAACAGCTATCAACACTTCATTCTTTAAGTGGATAGGGAAGATATTTACCTACCAAATGCTTTATTTCTTCTCTCATGGATGTTATCAATATATGACCCAAGAAATTTGAGTTACTACTTACCAGACAGTAGAAATATAAGCTGTTAACAGGACATGAATGACCTGAATGCAAGGCTTTTCCACTGAGTGAAGAAGTAACAATGATAGTACTAATTAATGAACCAAAAGATCAAATTATTAAATCTACTTGTATCTTCCCCTTTTTACCTCCACTTTTTGTTATTTTTTCACATATTCTTATCTCTCTTCATTTCTCTAAGATTCAAATTCTTGGGTGAACTTCTGGGTCCTCTGGACTTCCCTGCCACAGCCCGCCTGGCCTTGCCTTCCCCTGGGTAACCCCGTGAAGACAGAGCTCTTTCTTCACAGTTTTCCCCAAATTGTAACAGGTCTTTGTTCTCCATTCCTTTTAGTTCCAGCTACCTCAGTTGAAAAGAAGCTAATTTGGATGAGTTGTTAATGGTTAATAATAATTTAATACAGTTTATTTCTTGATTAAAAAAAACATTGATTTTAAGAATCAAATGAAGAATCTCTTTATTGTGGCCTTTTAGGTTCTATGGAAATTGCCATAATAGGTGAGATGATTCTAATCCGAAGCATTGATGGATGCTCCATTGCACTTTTTTGAGCATAGGCAAAGGAGCCATTGGATATATAGGAGCTCTCAGGTGGACAGGAAGTTTGGGGACACAAAGGCAGCATGACACAATACAAAATGAATTGGAACAGATCAGGAAACTCAAGTTTTAGGACCAACTAAGTTTGCTACCTAGTGTTTGGCAAGACATTCAGTTTCTTAACTTGAGAAATGAGGCAGGCCCTGTGGTATCAAAAACTCTCCATCATCCTTTCTGGCTCTTACATTCTATGACTCTCTGACCAAAGGTCAGTCAGCTCTCCTGGATTAGCTACCAGCCCCAGTTAAGAATTAATAGTTCTAAATAAAGATGGCAGTCATTCCACACGGAGCCAATCTAACTAAAGAGGTACTGATGTCCACAGATAAGTTTTACCTGTCTGCCTACAATCTACATGCACTACTTTTGAGTTGGTTCCTTTATGCTATACAGGTATTTCTTAGCATTTTGTTTTCCCTCATTTACTTAATTAAGCAAACATTTAATGAGCACTTTCTGTACATGAAACACAGAATCAATCACTAAGGACAGGATTGAACAGGGCACCATTTCTGTTGGGCAGATGGTTTTATTATTCTTGTCCATTCTCTCTCTCTCTCCCCACCTTCACTTTTATGCATAAACACATATACTTTTAGACTATAAAAATAGTATAGAAAAAATAAGAGAAATTAGACTTATCTGAGTCCAGTCCAAAGGACCATTTATTTTAAGCTAAAGAATATGATAATAATTTGTGTTGGCAAAATATATGCATTTAATTATGCACTTCAATAATATAAAGGGTATTTCTCAACATGGATTTTGAGGTCAGTAATTTGCAATAAGTAATTTACAATTTGGGGGAAAGAAGATTATAAAGGCAAAACATTCCCTTCTGTAGAATCCTGATAAAGTCCTAGGATAAAATCTGTGACTTGTGTAAATAGCCTCTGGGAAAGTGAGATCATAGAATATTTTTGTTTCGTTTTTGCTTTTCCTCTAAGGATTTTGGGTTCTTATCCCTCCAAATTTTATTTCCTGACTTAAAAATAATAACTGCCACTTATTGAGTAAATATTAAATGCCAGGCACTTCAAATACATTATGATTTCTATAAATACAATATATTAATATATTATATATTACAATATATTATAAATATTAAATACTATATATTATTAAAGCAACTATGCAATATAGATATTATTACTCTAACAGACATGAAAACTGTGGGTCAGAGAGGTGAAGTAGCTTGTCAAAGATAATTCAGACAGTGTACAGAGCTGGAATTTAAACTCAGGTCTGTATTTGCCTATGCAAGATAGCTCCATAACCACTTCATGGTTCTGCTGACTCTAACTTTATTTAAAAAAGGAATAATCTTGCTTGAATGCTTTGTTAGCAAGTAACGAAAGCATCCGTTATACTCTTTCTTCACATTCATTCATTGCATTATATATAGTACAATGAAAATAGGAGATGGTTAAGATTTTTTCAATGTAGATCTGTTTGCCTTTTCATATTGATTTGGACTGAGATAAATAATTAAATTTGGGCTCTCAAAGTAAAAGAGTAAGCTATTTGCTATCTGAATGAGTATTTATTAATTAATCAGACACAGATAAGGTGTGTTATTACAACTATATTTGTGAAGTATGATTTATGTTGTTCTGCATATTACTCTGTGCTGTTTTTCATTTTCTTGTACTTTGGACTTTTTGTTTTGTTTTTATGCATTTAATCACGGTTGTGTTTTGAACTTTTTAAAAATGTAATACTAAGGAAATTAAAAAAGGAAAGAAAATATTTTCAAAATGATGTCAAAATCAAATCTACCCCTCACTAATTTGATTTGTAGGAAAAGGAGAACAAAGTATTAGAAGCAGAATGCTTTTAAATAATCCTAATTACTTCAATGTGCAAATGCATTGACTAAATCGAAGCATGCATTTAACACTTTGCACTTCAATGTGCTTATTCATCTAACTTCTATAGATAGCAATTGTATAAAAAACAAGAGACATAGCCAGCCGTGCCATAGTTATTGGGGGAAAACTATTGTTCTAAAATTCAAGCTTACCTCTCAAGTCAGCCCACTTTTGGACTAATGCAGATCATTAGGTCAAATAACACAAAATAACATAATTTACTGTAATTACTCAGGTTTTCCCAATTGACTCTGCCTTCCCTATTCTATTTTTCTGCCTTCAGTGAGGTGGGCTGAGGACGTGGAGGAAGGAAGGCTTCTGTTAGCAAAGCCACAGAGTGAAAGCAGCAAAGCTTTTGGTAGTTAAGCCACACAACATTAAGCAGGGCCAATCTTGCGGAATGATGCCATAGGGATAGAGGTGGTTTGTGATCAAGGCTGAGATGGAGTCATGATGCCAGGGTTACTTGGTGCTTGGTCTAGGACCAGCTGCAACAGAAACACCTGGCGAGCATGTTAAAAAGACATATTTCAGGGTCTCACTCCAGAGCAAACCAATTGAATTAGTATCTCTTGAGGGGGAACTCAGATCTCCATTTTAAACAGGTTCCCCAAGTAATTCTTATGCTACTTAAGCCTGAAAGCATCGGCATATGCACTTAAGCTCTCTAATTCTATATCCAGCGAGAGCCCTGCTGCTATACCTGTACACTCTGTCCCAGTCATCAAGATGTATGTGCAAGTCCAACTACGTGTCCTGCGAGGCATTAACTCTAATAATAATGGCCAAGGGTTTAGCCGGGCGTGATACTATTTGACATGCAGTATCTCATCCAATCCCCACATCAAAGAATATGAGATAAAGATGATTACTCTTCTCATCTTTCAGATGAGAAAACTGAGATTCAGAGAGACTTAGTAACTTGTTGTGGGTGCTACAATAATAATTGAAAGAGCTCTTAAAAACTATACTACTGTACTTTAACTCTTAGCCCTGCAGAAAAATATCTTGAAAGATGTTTGCTCCCAAAGGTGTTCCTAATTTGGTGATATCATCATTCTAAAGAAACTTGCCTCATTGCTAGTAAGATAGATTATGTAACAACACATAGGGTGTAAGCATTTGTATCCGAGGAACTTTTCCTTAGATTATTTCATAGAGACTAAAACTCTCAAAAACTAGGCTGGGAATATTTCATTATTTCGTTCAACAGTTATGCACTTTGCCAGAACCTGATGTATACAAAGATAAACAGGAAACAGTCTTTGCTTTCACTAGACTTACTGTTCTGAAAAAGAGATAAGCTTGTGTACAAATGATTCTGGGTTAACTTAGATAGTCAGTGAAGGCCTGAGGGAGAGAGAGTAGTTTGTTCTCTTGACAGAAGGAAAAGAGGGTGAGGTCTGTAAATGTTTAGGTACTCCAGCGCTGTGCCATCGGCCAATGTAAGGAAATTAGATTGTAAAGCAAATTATATTTTTACTTGTTTTGTTACAAAGGGGGCAGACTAAGTTACTTGTGTATTTTGAGCCAGTAAAACTTTATCTGGTTCATTCTTTCTGGCATCAAACTGGGTTTCTTTTTGGATAAATTTCTGGGTACAGTGCCAAGTAAGTTGTTATGTTTATTCATTCTTACACAGAGCAGCCGAGATTCTATTCTTGAAATGAGTGCCTAATAAATTTTATCAGTAGTACTTTATTCCACCCCATAAATATGGCTCTTCAGTGACACACTGACTGTGTCCTTTATTTTCATTTGTTTCAATTACTCAGAATGCTATTGTTTGATTGGCATATTTTTATGAGGAATTTAGAAATTAAAAACAATTGAAAACATAAAGAACAATCTAGATTCTTTTGTGATAATAGAAGATGATCTCATATACATGTAAATGTGGTTTGAGCATGTTAATGTCAGAAATGACTGAAGAAAATGAAATGAGATTCTAAAGAAAGTGAGGGCTAGGCATGGTGGCTCACGCCTGTAATCCCAGCACTTTGGGAGGCTGAGGCAGGTGGATTGCTTGAGGTCAGGAGTTTGAGACCACCCTGGACAACATGGTGAAACCTCATCTCTGCTAAAATACAAAAAAGTAGCCGGGCTTGGAGGAGCACACCTGTAGTCCCAGCTACTTGGGAGGCTGAGGCACAGAATCGCTTGAGCCTGGGAGGTGTAGGTTGCAGTGAGCCAAGATTGCACCCCTGCAATCCAGCCTGGGCTACAGAGTGAGACTCTGTCAAAAAAAAAAAAAAAAAAGAAAGAGAAAAGCAAAAGAAAAAGAAAAGGGAAAAGAGAAAGAGGGAAAGAAAGAGAGAAAGAAAAAGAAAAGGAAAAGAAAAGAAAAAGAAAAAGAGAAAGAAAGAAAAAAGAAAGAAAGATAAAAGAAAGAGAGAGAGAGAAAGACAAAAGAAAGAAAGAAAGAAAAAGAAAGAAAGAAAGAAAGAACGAACGAACGAACGAACGTAAAATACGCTTCTGGAATGTCAAAGTTCAGGCTGATCACCTAAGGCAAAGGTACAAAGATGTAAAATAGAAAAAGAAATTCTCATGTGATTCAGTCTGGGGAAACTGAAAATCGATGTGTCCCATATTTCAGTAACTGAATAAATTGGAATCAGACATGTATTCTTTTCTAAGTTAAATAATTATCAAATTTGAGATTCAGTGTTTAGATTATTTACTGCTTCCTTAAAACTTATTTTTCTAATTATTACAGCATTTTTCAAGCATTAAGAAAGTTCAAGAAAAAGGAAATAGAAGTGAAATATCAAGTAATTCCACAATACAGAGATAACTGCTCTTTACATTTGAATGTATTCTCTTACATCATTACCAAATACTTTCACTTTTATATTTGGGATTGTTTTATTTAGTTATGTTATTTTATAAACTTTTCTAATAAAATAGTCTTAAAATATCTTGAAGAACTATCTAATTTGCATATATGACATGCAGTGATACATATGGATATTCTGTAATTTAATTAATGATTTCTTTAATTTTATAATTTAAGATTGTAAAATCTTCTTTTCTCTTTTATAAATGACATTGTGGTAAACGTCTTTGTACCTAAATCTTTGTCTGAGGTTCTATTTCCTCTAGATAGATGGCTAGAAGTAAGATTAATGTGTCAAATGAGATTTTTTATAAAAGGTTCTTGATAATATAATGTTATATTACTTTGTAGAATTTTGTGTCAATATATAGATCTTCACTTTATTGGTGCCTATTTTACTGTACCACTACCAGCATTGAGAATTACTATTTTTCATAAATCATGTCTTCGAATCCTAGTGAGTTATGTTTTTCCATGTTTATTAGATATTTGTATTTCCTTTCATAACTTTTCTCTTTATATTCTTTTTATCCATTCTATTTGACTGAACATATACCTTAGTATGTTCATATCTGTCCCTTCAACTTCATCTCTGACTGTATCGCCATAGTCTGAGCCCTCCTTACCTTGCTCTGAATGATGGCACCATGTCTGCCTGGTCTGCATTCTAGGTTTCTTCCATTCTGATTCATTCTGTATACTAATGTCTAACAGTTATTTTGAAAATATGCTTTCATCATGTCAGACCTGATCAAGAACATATGATAGCTCCTGGTTATTTATCTATCAGTTACATTCAATTACCTTGTTCAGGGGAAAATTCATCCTATTGTTGGATATTCCCTTATGAGTTCTGTTGAATAATTTAGGTTGCTATATGGACTCTATATGCACTTATATTTTCATAAGTGGGTATTTCTGTATAAAGACAGAGCGACACGCTCTTGTGTTCTAGAGTATGGTACACAAGAACTGGAAGGGGCTTCACAGTGCATCAAAACCAAGTGTCTACATTTATAAATGAAGGAAGTGGACTTCCTTCATTTAATTGACTCGTGATCACGGAGTCAATTAAATGACAGAACTAGGAATAGAAACTAAGTTTCGTTATTCGCGTTTAGTGATTTTTAGGTAAAGAATAATAAAAGTCATTTTTACAATTTAAAAAATAGAAACAGCTAGGAAGGCAGTTTAATTTCAATCTCTTGTTATGTATAAAAGATTGTTAAAATCATGCCACATAGAAAGCTTGAGTGTTTTTTATAACAGGAATAATATGTACTTCTTATAAATTGATCAAATGTGTTATCAGAATTTCAAAAAAATTTGCACATCAGCAAATGACCTAGTTTATTTATACGTTGCTTTTTTCCTTGCTAATCTATATTGTTTTATTTAATCTGCTTTGCTACAATAAAAGCACATCTTTTTTATCCTAGTGTATTGCAGATTTTCACTAAGGTTCTTAATAACATAAATCAAAACTCCAATTTCCTGAGCAAATTAATATAAAAGATTTCTTTTGACTATAGTTAGGGATTTGAAGAATTACCCTTAAAAAATAAAATAATAGGCTGGGCGTGATGGCTCACACCTGTAATCCCAGCACTTTGGGAGGCCGAGGCAGGTGGATCACCTGAGGTCAGTAGTTCAAGACCAGCCTGACCAACATGGTGAAACCTGTCTTTACTAAAATACAAAATTAGCTGGGCGTGGTGGTGGAAGCCTGTAATCCCAGCTACTTGGGACGCTAAGACAGGAGAATCACTTGAACCAGGCGATGGAGGTTGCAGTGAGCCAAGCTTGCGCCACTGTACTCCAGCACTCCAACCTAGGCAATAGTGCGAGACTCTGTCTCAAAAAACCAAACCAAAACAAAAAACAACAACAAAACCAATAGGAATTACTTCAAAATACCTCTGTTTAAATAGTAAACAACACGAACCATTATGGAAGAATGTGGGGTATTAGCCATTTTATATGATATGATTATTGCTATTTATGTTCAAGAATCCCACTGCATATGCCAAATGAAAACTTAACATTAGTCCCTGGTTTAGAAATAAAAGTTACCAAATATGTTTATTATTTGTGGAAGAGGGGTAG